AAGGGCTCAGCGCCACCAAAATAACCTCTTTCCAGCGATGCAGATAGAAGTTCATCGCCCAGAAGCATATGCGGGCCAAACGAATGAAGCGGTCGTTCCAGCTAAGACAGGTGTTGTTGCTAGAACTTCATGGGACGACGATACTGAAGTTGTTCCTGCAGCTGACAGGTAAAGTGACCAGGTTTACGCTGATCAGTGTGGGCGGAGACGCACAACATTTGTGGTTCCTTTATTTTCACGCACACACTTGAAAGTGAAACTTTATCCATGGGCTTTCCATCGTTTCTTACTACAATAATGTCCTTTTCTTAGCCCTTCTGTGGTTTGGAACTTTTCATAGCCATTTGGTATCCGTGGTGAATTACGGCAAGTGCCGCGCACGGTCGCGTCGTGTATTGAATGTTCCCTTGCACTTTCAGATAAATGTTTCACGTACCTAGAAATCCATTCCCGAAAAGAAGCCTTCCACCGGAGGGGATGCCGCTCTCAGTAATCCAGCTGGACCAACCTGATGGAAAGAGAGGGGACGGGGGGGGAGCTCTTGTTAAACTCCTACGTTCCAGAGCGTACTTGATGCATCGTCCCCAGGTTTCAGGCGGACAAAAAATTTAACAACATTTCACTACACTTTTTTTGCTAAGTTTCCTGTGAAACAGGTTTATATGTTTTTTTTTCAAAATTTCAATATTATTTTTTGAGATTAGAAAACGCACCAAAATTGGAACCCTGCAGGATCAGGAAAAGAATAGCCTTCTACTGAAAGAGTCTGTGTTTAACATCCAGTCTGTACTTGCAGACCTCATGCAGCATCTCCTGCTATGACACCACCTGCAGCTCCTGCTCAACCCACTACCGTGCAATTCAGCGGATTCAGCCAGTCGCCAATCATTACCCTACCATCACTGGATGTTCTCAGTGGGTCTTTATGCTTATAGTAATGGTTGCAATATTAAATTGCTCAATTCGCTTCGAAAAGTTTACCTTCGGGCGTACGGCTCAGGTTGGCATTGAAATGGTCACCGCAGGTAGGCATGACGCAGGTCTCCGTGCAATGATCTACAATTATTGTTGATACAACAGGTTCACATCGCACATTTCGCAGCTTCACAGGAGTTCACAGGTCTCACCAAGGTGAAACCATCGCTTTAAATGAACTGGCAAAGGAAAGTAACGAATGTGCAAGATGGCCCCTCCAAGCCAAACAGCATTTTTCTCAATGATTCGGTAGGTCATTTTTCTCCACAAAAATGGTCATGTTCAATCGTTCAAAATCGGTTTCGTAACTTGAAAGCTTCGTGGTCGCAAGCTTCAAGGAATTTAAGCTTTGAAGCAGGGGTGCTCAATAGTTTTGGATCCCAAAAACGGCCAAATAGAACTGAGCCATGACTCCTAGGTAGAAAAAGAACTTCTGAGGTCTAACAGTGGATCAACGCCATAAACGAGAGAAAGTCAATCGCACCTAGAACCCGTTCGCTAAACGCCCCAGAGCTGCGCTTTCCTTCAGTCCTTGAGGAAAATCCCATACTCGCATAAAACACCCTCGCATCCGGGCAGTTGATTAGGGCGGTCGTCAACGGGCCGCAGCGCGTGCCAGGAACTATTTGCTTTTTCCAGACTAATTTAGTCATTTTTTCCAACTTTCACTGTTTTGGCTACTTTTTCCAAGATATAGCAGAGCTCCTTATGCTGCACAAGTGGATATATAAAATACTAAAATTAGGCGGGAAAAAGCAAAACAGTTCGCTGGCACGCGCTGCGGCCATTAACGACGCCCTAATCATCTGCGGATGACGAGTTACACTCTTGTTTTGCACGTGGTGATGGTGACGATGGCCTGGTCTTTCGAGTAAGTAGTAGCGCCGAAAATTCACTGAATTTGGTAGAGGCAGCATCCGGCATGCTCTACACCACAAGTCATTAGTACTTCAGCGGTTCGAGCGGCGTTTTTTCATCCTGTGGGTTGAGTGCTTAAATCTATACCTGATTTTTTGTTTTGTTGTTGCTCCAATAGTGGTGGCTACTGCTCCATTGAATGGCTATTTTTCTTGATTACCCTAGTTCGCCCTTCAGTAGCACGTTGAACAGGAACAAGCATTACAGGAGGGCTAAGGCCTCAAAAGGTACGGCCAATTGAAAGCAAAACCCCAGTAAAAGCTGCTAGGACTGGTAATTTTAAAGTCTGTTTACTTTGGGCGTGGGTCAGAATATCCAATTTACTGTGAGGCGCAAAGGCCGCGCTGATACCGCTTTCGCTGCTACGCTGCAACTTACAAAGATCTCTCCTATCGTTTACTTTTTAGCCTTATGCAACGAAAAACAAATATGTAAAACTGGATGGTGTAGGGGTAGCAAAATGCTTACTACGGAAGCGTTCCGGCGATCCAATCCGGCTGAGCTCCCGTCCAGGCCAACCAAGGACTCTACTCTCAGGAGGCGGTAAAGTGGTCCCAGGTTCACCTGGGAGATAAAAAGTACATCGGCTAGCTCCTACAAGTCGGTAGGCTAGATCGGATTCAATAAGCCACTACGATTCCGAATGGAAGTGGAGATGTCACCGCATCCTGAAAAGGCGAGCGATCAGCGGCTCTACCTTCCACAAGACTGGATACAATGTTGGGGAACCTCTTTGATGGTCAGCATAATCATGTTTTTGCAGAGAACATCACAGCCATCATTGGATCGTTCTCGACTACGTCTTGGTTACTATGTCTTCACTACTTTCGGTCAGCTTTTGGGACAAACCCCAGACGTTATTGTGAATAGCTACGTGATTGGAGCCTCTGTGGACGACGCCACAAGAAGTTTGAAGTAAGCAAGTTTGTTGGAGCCCACGCAGAGGCCTACGCATTGTTTTTCGCCCCACCATTCTTCTAACAACAGGAAGCCGGCCTAGTAAATGTGCTTCTGGTATCCAGTAAGTGACCTGACCTACTAGTCGATACTGCAAGTTGGTAAAGTGAGAAGGTAGCGTAACGATTCCGGTGTATTCCACACAAAAACCACCGTCCGGAAGGGGGGAGGGGAAGCGGGTAGAGCACCAGTGGAACAGAAAAACCGGGAAAAGTAAACAATCAAAAACATTTCTGCGAGAGCGAATATGACTCATCCTCCATCCAGCGACTAATGACAAAACCCCCTCTGGATTACTGGGCTCAGGTGGCTTTAGTAAGGGGTAGAGGGGCAGACTAACGCGCTTGCATCCCCATACCCTACTTAATCAATACATCATCACCCTCATTCCGCTCAACTGCTTTTACTATTCTGTTCAGAAGCAGAATCCATGGCGCATCTTGGGCAAAGCAAGCTTTGTCTCTTGTTCTGATTGCTAGGAAGTCTTACCCCAGCGTTTCTCATATGTTCTTTCCCAAAAGAGGTTCAAAGGATTTGAGAGCTTTTTTTCAGGCTTCCCGACGATGAACCGGCCACGTTCACCTTCTACCATCTGGTGAAGAACGGCGTCAGCAATCCACGATGCGTATACTGGGATCTGGATGAGAAGTCAGTTCTGTTTGCTCTTTATGCGTTATTATTGTGGACGATTGGGCGAATAAGTCCCTATCGTTCTCAGCCTTCCTCATATGTGCTGTCTCCTCTGCATCGCTTGGCAGAAGAGGCGCGCCGTTGATAAAGGCAGCGGCGGTGGGTGGTCTGTCTCAAAGAGATTGCTGGGCTTTTGCCGGGCCCTGAACCTTGTGAGATTTTGGTTTTTTTAATAGACATTTTAGAAAATATTCGCCGTGATGGGTCATATGCCTGGGAGGAGTGCGTGTTTTGAGTGATAGGACTACGGCCCGGCGAAACATTGCACGACTGCTACTAATGAATCACAGAAGAATTTTTGCTGGGGCAAGGAGGGTGATGTAGGTTTTCTCTACGGGATCCTCTTCCAGTGGACTTGATTGACGTTGGTCTAAGGTACCGGGTTGAGAAGAGGTCTGCCTCTGCGTATGTTTCAATTCCCCTTACCTCCGTACGTAGTCCTTGTAAGCCGTAATTGATCACACTAGGCTTGATAAAGAACGGCGCTGGATTTCTGACCAACTAGAACTTGAAGGTCCATCAGAGATTCAAATTTTAAGGACCTGGAGCACGGATGGATGCCGTATGATCTCAACAAATGACGATGCCACTCCAGTGTGCATGTAACCATTTAACAAGGTAAGCGAATATCTAAAGCACTTTTTTTAGCCGCACGCACTGCTGCGCACGCGTGGCGTGCGAGGCGATTCAAAATTCCTAGGGCTTTTCCCGAGAATATTCTATAACAGTAATTTTGTGTTTTTGTTTAGTCCAACCATTAAGAAGTTTCAATTCCGCAATTCGCGAGTCCGCGCTGACTGTGTGGCGGGGTCAGACGCCGTTGCGATCGCGCTCTTTTCTTAGGGTGGTGGCTAGAAGGAGTTCACTCCATATCGCGCCCGGAGCTGGGTAAGGCGTGGCTGCGTACTCCATACGAACGTGACGGCTGCACTTTTGGCGAGATATTGCCTCTCTGGAAACCTTGTAATCGTATTCTCCTTTTCCAAAAGAAAAGTTGATAGTTCTCTCGAATGAAAATTTCCTAAAACAACGTATTCTACGCCATATCAGAGTGACGTGCGCAGCCACACCCTTCTTAATCGTTTGGAAGCAGAGCACACGTCATAGAGGAAAGCACAACAGAACTCTGACTCCGCCCATGCGACCAACGTGGACTGTGTTTTGAAGGCTGCGAACTTGAAAATTCGGTTGTAAATACATAGAACTATTGCCATGAGGTCCCAGGATGAAGTTATTTGACGCTTTTACGAAGAAGAAAGGCTTGAAGAGTAAGTCTAGAAGTTCTCAAGCCAAGAGCGTGCGATGCTCCGCCTCCATTTGGGCGTGTCAGTCCCATTGCAATTTGCTATATATTCTTGTGGTCATCATACGCTTTTTTGTCAAATTACTTTTTGCTGCTCAAATAAAACCTGAAAAAAAAGATTTGCAGTTTTGCGATTCTCATGGATGTTTCTGGAAAGGTTTCTCAGTACGCCGGTACCATGGCGGCTGCTCTAGACGTGGTGTCGATTATTGGGTGTGCGCTTTCGGTTGTTTGCCTGGCGCTTTCCCTATTTGTCTTCACATTCTTCCGGTGAGTTATTTTTCTCCTTTGAGAGTTACTTTAATGGGTGGCCCATGGCTGGAGCCCAAGTTACGTTCGTACCCCATGGGTAACGTAGTTTACCAAGAGTATAAAGCCCTACCGCTGATCGTATTAGCGAAATCAGGCCCTCTATAGTGTCTTTCTATCTAGAGCGACCCTCTTCTCTACAAGCTGAAAAGGGTCGCACCACATAGGGAGGCACTATCATAGGCCTAACTACTCCCACGTCAATGAAGCCTGTCGGTTTCAGACCTCTGTATAACGTACGAAACACTATCCATCGGAATCTATGTCGTGGATTTGTTAATCGGCTGAACTGATTTTCGATGATATGGTATAGTTTCATTTGTAGGCGGAAGATAGAAGTAGACGTAGAGTGGTCCATCACATGCAAGCGGTCCGTAGATGCGGATTGCTGAAACGGCATTTTTGCCCATGGTTAACGGCGGACTCCTCTTGGGTCAGCTCTGTAGACTGCTCTGCAAGCTTCTTCGCTGGCAGATACCGGGGCGTGTCAGAGGACTGGGTTCGGCGCGGCGCCATCCCACTTTCTACCGATTGTTGTCGCTTGTCTCATTTCATCCTGGTGGAGAAAGTCTGGCGCCGCACCAAACCCAGCCTTTATAAGCACGCTCTCCAGCACACCAGCGGCAAGTATGTGTAGGGGTGGCGAGTGGGTATATTACTTGGCCTTTCTTTGGGTGTTTGTATGGTGAATATGAAATGCGGCTACGATTGCGGTAAGCAGTTGAGTGCGGAACGCACATCAAGAAGAGAGCCCTAGAAGCCGACTTGTAAGACCAACCAACATCCAGGTTTTTCCTTTGATCCATTTCGTCCCTTCTGGTAAACTGAAGGGCAGATAACCTACTTCTCCCCCCCCCCTCTCCGATGGTGAAGAAGGAAAGCACATCAGTCGTGGGAGGGCTCCAGGGTGCAAGAGCCTCTACATATGGTGGCACTGACCAAAGTGATTTCCTAGTATCGGCTGCCAAATTTATCAGAGATCTTGACTACTGGTACTGCTGCTTATTTAGGAATTGATCGCACTGAAAACCGTGTAGGATGTGCTATAGTGGCTTGCTGTTGATGCACTATTCTTCCGCTGGCTGCATTTTGTTGGATCTTCTGCGAGGGTACCAGTTATACCTAATGTTGTAATTCAATGTAAGTGAACTTTTTCAAAAGTTCAGCACTAGGACCCGGGCATACGTATGTAGGTCCGAGATTCTGTATGATCGCCAGATTTGATGGCGCAGCCCGCGTTGTTTGCATGGGAGGAAACATCTGGGAGGAAACACCTACTTTATTGGAGTACGCAGTCCCTCTCTACTTCTCCGACTTAAACTCAAAGGAATCTCGGAAGTCTCGCCCCAGGCGGTTTCGCCCACATCTCTTCGAGTGGAGTCCAAGGTTAGTTAAGAACGTCGCGAATGAGGGGCGGAGGAAGAAGGGTAGGATCGTTGAGTCGATGAACCGTTCCCCATCATCAGTGAAAATAATAGAGTGTAATAGAGCAATGTCAACTCCCTGGCATGAATGAGTTCAAAGCAGCGCAGGCTCCCTAAAGGAGGCGTTTTCCAAGGGAATGTGAGCAGTGTCATGTCGGCTCGTCTCTGCTCTCCATCCACAAGCCCTGCTTGGTTCAGATAGATATAATGGCGAGGCTTTGAAGCGTCAGAGCAGACTGGGCTCAGCCCAGCCGAAGATTGACCCTTTCCGACACATGTAGCGCCTTTGTGGATGCGAAATCTAGATAGAACTTCAATATTCAATTTTCGCTGAATATCTCTATTCATTAGTCCCTTTTCAAGGTGTTCGAATCTGACAAGACGCGGCTGTTCCTATACTACAAGTTCTCCTATGGATTTCCGGCTGCGATCGTTGCCATTTCAGCCGGAGTCACTTGGCACAATTATGGCACTGATGAGTAGTAAGTACACGCTTTGTCATCATTTTTTCTGATTATTTGGTTCCTTCTGGTCATTGCGGATCAGTCGACTCGATTAATAGCCATCACATCACGGGTTACTTTGGACTTGAAAAGGGACCTCTAAGAGTTAGGCGAAAATGAAGAGAGAAGGTTGAGAAGATGGGAATTGTATCTCAAATGCGTCATACGTGCTGACGCAAGGTGATCGTTGAGTAGGACCTTTGTGACTACTCAGTACGTGCCCCCCCAGAGCTACTTTGACTGCAGTCCCCTTTACGAGAAAGCCCAAATCTCTCAGTGCCTAGCATTTCCCTCTCTTATTGTTAGCACAAAGGTTTTCCGCTAGAGAAGTGCCGGAGGCCGACGTGACCTTCTTGGGTCCCTTCCCTAGCAAAACGTTTCCCACAAGAAATGATTCAAAAACTAACCCGAGTTTCTGTGACAGCTCGTCCACATCGCCTTGCAATAATTGGTCACCCTGTGGTATTTTTCTGGCTCACGTGATTTTCTTTCAGCTGTTGGATCGACACTTCCTCGTCAACCTTATGGGCTTTTATTGGACCGGTTGCCGGTGTTA